TAATATAATAAGCAATTAAATAATAAACGACTTAAACTCGAAGCCTGTCGTATTTATTCAAGAAGGCGATCGCGGTCTCGTCTCCATCAGAAGCCCCGTTGGCCACGTCTACTTGTATGCATATTTTCTAGAAATTTCAATGTCAAACTTCGCCCTCCAACGGCAATATAATAAATCAAATTTAAAGAAGCAGCTTGAAGATGCACTTTTTTTATGGCCTGGTTTGGGGGGTTTTTACTTTTTATAGGGGCTCTCTAGATGCATGCAGCCAAAATTGTCCGGGTTTGTGTCTGCAAATATGTGGTAAAAAAATGCTAATCAACGTGGATAAGCCAATTTTAGGATACGGTTTAGTGAATTATATGATAATATCAATGTGCATCACTAACTTTCTTCGCTCCCATTCAAATTTGGGTCCGTCCTGCCACAAGAAAAGAAAGAAAAAATAAAAGGGAACACAAGAAAATAATCAGATCTTTCTTTATTTTTCGCTTATATGTCATTCATTATATCAGTGTCTTCTAAAGTACAACTGCCCCCCACCCTTGAACTTGCAGCCCTTGGTGTTAACAACATACTTCATCAAAGATCCAATCTCAGACCCTAAGAAAATCATTCATTTTCATTTGGGGCAATAACCATTTTCAAATTCAGGATTAACTCAACATACGTCCCGAAGTTCATCTCAAATTCTTGGACGATTTAATTCTTCTGCTAATTTCCTTTTCCAGCTCTTCAAGTCCTCCTACGTCTTCAAGCTCCTGCATCAAATCAAAACATCGATGTCAATGAGAAAGCATGATAAAGTAACTGTGGGGTGTGTGTGTGTGTGCGTTTGTGTGTGTCTGAGAGAGAGAGAGAGAGAGAGAGAGAGAGAGAGAGAGAGAGAGAGAGAGAGAGAACCTTAGGTCCTAAAAACAATCCATATGGGACTCCATTGAACTTGTCCGAGTGATGAAGCTGATAACCCAGACATCAAAATCGAACAAACATCAATATATTACTACAAAGAGGCAAAAAGAAAGACATGCAATGCAAAGAAGTAGCTATCATTAAAATGATCACAACAATACAAATAATCCTAAAAAGATGCATTATTAAATATGAATAGATCAGATTACCCATGCTTATAGATATTATTGCACCATAAAGCACAAAAATTCCCAAATCGGTACCTGGTGAGCTGATGCTACTCTCCTAAGATAGGGCACATTTGCAATGGGCCCAACCGGAAACCTCTTGTGAACGAGACCGTCATGGACGAACATGTATGCCATGCCGAACACCGTAATTCCAAGACCCTGCATCGCGTACAAGTTTGTTAATTACCATGAACATGAATATTTGTTCTGCGCATATTTTTGTCAGTGCAAGTAATACATTAAAGAGCGACCCAAAAGATATAAAGTACAAATTCCACATCTATGGTTTGGCCCAATCTACAAATAACAGAATTTATCTTTAATATTTATGAGGTCCTTCCTGTTAGGTAATGCAAAATGAGTTAAAGCAGTTTTCCAAAAAACATTCGCAGCCGAAAACTTTAGCCACAAACAGAAAAATATGGTTTTCGCACATAATCTTAAAATTCGACAAACTAGATATCCCCATGTAAGCTACTTTTAAATTAATAATTTGGGAACAATTGAAGCTGTCAGAATCAAGAGCATAATTAGAAAATAGGCGAACAATGTTTTGGAAAGTCTGGAATGCTTTCAATGAGAAGAAATTCAATAATTCTGATGAGAAAAATTTAGGTATGATGAATCATATTTCGGAAAGTCTTGGGGCTACAGCCTTGCCAAAGCTATGAGTTTCCACCTAATAGCATAGGAAAAGATTGGAAAAGATTACTCACACCACCAAAACAGAGGCCCGGCACAAGGCCTTTGTGGAAAAAGCCATATGAGAGGAGGGCTATGGCAGGTACAGCATTGATTATTGCAAAAACATCGTTAAGTTCAAAGGGTCCTTCTCTTGGTTTATGGTGTGACTGCAATCAAAATGGGAAGATATGTTAATTCAGACAATCAGACTCTTGAAAATTCATTAATTTCAGAAGGGGTTGCCAATGCCTACAATTGTGAGTGATTTATTTTTTCCTTTTTTTTTTTGTTTTTGCTGATTAAACATTTAAACTTAACCTCGTGCATGTGCCACAATGAAGCATGCCACAGAGCTTTGTGCGCCCATCTTGCCCAGAACTCCATGCCTACCTAAAAATCAACAATTTGATCAATATCGGAAGGAGAATAGTTAAAGGAAAATGGAATCCAACACAGATTGAATCAGGAATTTATGGATAATAAATTTCAGACTGCATAAATATTATCCTCCCAAGAAAATAGATTGTCAAGAAACTCACAGCAGCTCCAACAGAGAGAGCAAATGTACCCAGCATTTCTGTGTAAGGTACCTCTCCACCCTGCACTACAAAATTGATCGATCAACATATGAACATAAATTGCCTCATCCTATAACATAACCCTTGAAAGAGAAATTAGTTCCTTGTAAACAAAATGGCAATAAACACACAAATCACAAGTCTCCTATAGATTATCCTCAATTGCTTAAACGATAATTTTTCCCAAAATTTCTATCTAAATGACAGTAATAGCTCAAGCAAAGAAATGGTAAAAGCAAGCACGAATTCGGGGGATGTAATAGAAGCTAAAAATGGAGCAGTGACTCACCTCCATTTGCCAGGAAAATCTGTAATAAACAGCCATTACCGCCATGGAAGTGATCCCGAAGCTCGACATAACTGCCGCCACCAAGTAAGTGAACCTCTCCGATTTCTTCCGCGCCATCTTCTCCGCCACGGCGGAGGCGGCGGAGGCTTCAATCGCTCCTCCACCTTCCTCCTCCGAATGGGCCGATTTCTCAGTCTCCAGCACGAAGCACACCGTCAAATTAGGTCCCCGACTGCTGGTTTCGCGCCACGACATCCCCCGGTATTTCCGGAAGAAGCTCGTGTGCCGCAAATTAGGCGGCCCGACTACCGGAACGGGCCTTGGGACGAGAGACGGGCCGCGCCTGAAACGGACCGCAGTGCTGGAGGCGAACGAAGAAATTCCGGCCGCCATAGGAGGTGCTTCGGTTTGTGGCTGCTATAAAATTTGAGATGAAATTTTCAGGAGCAGGGATTGGAGAGGGGTTGGAGAGACATAGGCCGCATGTTAGGTCTCTGGCATTGTCATAGCGTCTGTAATTAAATACAGAGGAAAGAGGTATGTATGCGAGTGTGTATGCCGGTGGCTGTACAAATCTGGATTTTTGCGCTTTTCATGATGATAAATTAAAATTATGGTGATATGAGGGGAAATGGGGCTGATTTTCTCTAAAATTGCGGAACTGCCACTTTTTGTCGAGGGTGAAATGGTTATGAGGAAATAGTTATTTTCACCCCGTTCTGAAGTCATACTAAGTTTTTCACACCACCCAATAAAAAGCTAAGTTTTTCACCCTAAAATGTACGAAGACATATGCGATGAACTATGCGCTAAATAGGCGACAAGTATGAGCATGGGCGAGAAAATTATGAGTTAAAGTATGCGACTGTTCTACGATGAATATTCGGAGATTCGATGTACGATTCGGTCAATCGCGGTCCGTCGCCCATTAAATAATTATTTGTGTTAGGCGAATGAACTGCGACTATTAGTCGAAAAAAATTATTCTGCGACACAACTGCGACATACCAACATCGCATATTATTCGAAGAATTAGTGCATAATAAGTTTTTTTTTTCGTATTTCTTTCATCTTTCAGTTATGCCAGGCGGTATGCGAATTACCGCATATTGCTCGCATACCCCCTTCGCACTTCTACTCGAAAGTGTATTTTTTATTTCTTTCATCTTTCAGTTATGCGATGGGGTATGCGGATTTCCGCATATTGCTCGCATACCACCTACGCACTGCACATGTATGAAGACATATGCGATGAACTATGCGCTAAATAGGCGACAGGTATGAACATGGGCGAGAAAAAATATGAGTTAAAGTATGCGACTGTTCTACGATGAATATTCGGATATTCGATGTACGATTCGGTCAATCGCGGTCCGTCGCCCATTAAATAATTATTTTTGTTAGGCGAATGAACTGCGACTATTAGTCGATAAAATTATTCTGCGACACAACTGCGACATTCCAACGTCGCATATTATTCGCATAATTAGTGCATAATAAGTTTTTTTTCGTATTTCTTTCATCTCTCAGTTATGCGAGGGGGTATGTGAATTACCGCATATTGCTCGCATACCCCCTTCGCACTTCCACTCGAAAGTGTATTTTTTATTTATTTTTTTATTTCTTTCATCTTTCAGTTTTATTTCAGTTATGCGATGGGGTATGCGAATTGCCGCATATTGCTCGCATACTACCTTCGCACTTCTACTCGAAAGTTTATTTTTTATCTTTCATCTTTTCGTTATTTCAGTTATGCGATGGGATATGCGAACTACCGCATATTGCTCGCATACCCCCTTCGCGCTTCTACTCGAAGTTTATTTTTTTATTTCATTCATCTTTCATCTTTCATCGAAAGTTTATTTTTAAAATTTAAATTTTTGAATGGTTTAGAAACCGCTGGCAGTTGGAACGTTACGGCCGATTTCGAGGCGTCTTATCCGCTTTTCGAAACGCCTGGGCAGTAAAAGCGTGCACGCGAATCATTTCAGCCGTCTATATAAAGCGTGTAATCTTCGATACATATCATGCCACTTCTCTTACTACTCATCCGTCCCACAGAAGTCTTTGTTAATGGCCCTCCATTTTTCCCTTTTCTTGCATATGAGAAGCAGTTCGCCGGAGATAAACCAGAGTTACAAAAATTCTTTCTTTCGACACGTGAGGCAATTCTTTAAGATTACTGTGTCCGAATTGGGAACTCCTAACTTTCGAATTCGTCGGAGGAAAAAATTAAACGAGCGGAAATTCTGCTATCCAACTTTATTAGCGTGGCCCCGGCAGGAAACATTTATGCCGAGACAGCGACGATGAAAATCAAACCTCCGGCCCTGGGTATTGCCGGATCAACTGTGAGAAGGTTGAAGGTCGGAACTCGTCAGAGCCCATCGGTTCAGATCGTGGTGGTCGGGGCCGATCTCATGCTGGAGTTCTACATGGAACT